TCTAGTGCAGCTCAACCAGGTCTCGTCCCATTCGTCGATATTTGTGATATCACAAATCCCGGAAAATATGCGTTGCAGTCCAAACGAGTCGTTCGTTGTAGTTTTTGAAAAGTGATTTCTGTTAAATAAAATATCTCATTTTGAAGTGGACTTTGTAACTTTGCAGATCTTTTTTATGCTCAAACAGCAACATTACAGACTAACTAAAGTTGAAAAAGTGAAAAAGCACAAAAAGGACCCCTTTAATGGAAGAAGTTTGGAATAACGGGGACTCTTCCTAGAGCTGGTTTCTTGGTCAAACTGAGCAATCGGTGGAGAAGGGCCTTGGTTAGATTGGTGACCAAGAAGCTGATGGTCACTCTAGTTATTGAGATCCATATCATATATTAACCATCACTGCAACACTCCACCGATCTTGGCTTTAAGACGGTGTGGCAAGACTCAATCCTCTTCTCAGTGAAAACATATGAAAACTTGGAATTTGCACACAAAAAAAACAAAAAAAAAACCACCAAAAAGACTCTTAGACTGTGAGAAAACCTAGTCCAAAGCATTCAGAACTTCAGACTAGGCCGAAGGTTCACCTTCAAATCAGACAATGACCCTAAGCACACAGCTAAGGCAATGCAAGAATGGCTTATATGGAAGCAAAATAATGACAAATGTCTTTGAAACAAAAAAGCATGTTGAATTGCACTAACTGAAAAAATAATGCATTGCATTAACAGTGCTTGCATTTGTATTACTTGTATTTTTAGGGGCTGAAATAGTTGTTTATTTAAGCTGTCAATATTTCAATTCAAAACATTTCACATTTTCATAATTAAAAATTCAATAATTCATATTCACCTTCCAGAGTTCACTTCCAAAATATTCAATCTGTTTAAAAATACGATGTATAATATTCGACAGGCAATTTTCAGTCCATTTTATTTCACTTTACAAATTCGCTTCCACTAATTCAGTGGTTCAAATTCAGCAGAAAATTTGCCATTGCACACCCGGGAGCTGCAGGAGTTTAAAAATACGATGTATAATATTCGACAGGCAATTTTCAGTCCATTTTATTTCACTTTACAAATTCGCTTCCACTAATTCAGTGGTTCAAATTCAGCAGAAAATTTGCCATTGCACATCCGGGAGCTGCAGGAATAGCAGTAGAGCACCGATGCATGCTCTCCAGCTGCTGTTAGTCGCTCACCAGCAGGTGGCGCAAGACCAAAGCAACAGGTAGAGCAAGTCATTCATTCACAAAAACTGATCTGCAGAAGTGGAGCAAGCGGTAAGTAGAAGTTATGATTATCAGGGCCAGTATGTATTTGCTGACAACAACTCTGTCACCCAACGACTCTACACGGTCCCCAAACCACGTTCTGTCATGAAAACGCATGCGAGAAGTGGAACGGGAATGACGCAAAACAACAAGTAAAACAGGAGTTGTATATTTGAAAATAGACATCAGGAAGAAATAAGTGCTGCAAGTTGTTTGCGTGATGATCTGTTATGAAAAATTTCGCTCCATTTGTTGTGTCCAAACTTTTCTTAAAGTCATGTTGCTGCTGCTGTTTTTCTTCCGCTGACCTCAACCCATGCCTTGCTCTCATTGGCTGTAGCTTGTCAAGACACCCGACACCACGTGATGTCGAGTCAGCCGACCGGTCCAGATATTTAGCATGCTAGATATTCGTTTGGTGTCGGCGATGAGTCAGGGAGCCTCTTTGATGCGTCGTTGAGTAGTTCACACATAAAGATTGCAGATTGCATTTTCCCCCGATCACAACCCGGCCAGTTAGCAAGCTCGTTAACTTGCAAATCAGGCTTAAATCTGGCTTTAAATCCTGTAATGTGAACGAGGCATAAGGGAATAAATACTTATGCAAAGTACTTATTTCCGTTTTTCCTTTTTAATAAATTTGCAAAGTTGTCACAAATCTGTTTTTTGCTATGTCATTATGGTGTATGGAGAGTAGATTGATGGAAAAAAGCAATTTAAAGCAGTTGAACTTAAGGCAGCAATATAACAAAATGTGAATAAAATGAATACTTTCGCAAGGCACTTTATATAATATTGCAATAATTAAAAGATTAAAATAATTAAAATATAGAATTAAAAGACCTTGTTTTCAATTTAAATATAATTCAAAATGGAATTTATTCCTGTGGTGTAAAGCTGAATTTTCAGCATATCAGAATGTTTTAGAATAATAATATTATTTCACAATATTACTGTTTTTACTTTATCTTTGATCAAATATGTCAGTGGTTCTCAATTCCAGTCCTGGCGACCCCCCATTCTGCATATTTTGCATGTCTCTCTTATTTAACACAGCTGATTCAGATCATCAGCTCGTTAGAAGAGAGCTCCATGCATGAACTGTTTTCCAATTGACAGGGTCCCTACACAGTGATCATTACTCCCTACTCCCTGTACACGGGATATCTTTACTTCACTTCGGAACATTCATTCACAAATTTGCGCCACACCACTGCCTGCAGAGTCATCACACACAGACGAGAGAAGTGTGACATAATAAACCTCTGTAAATAAATATAATTTAAATTCACGTCTTTAATGCCCTTTGAATGGAACATATTTGCTCCCTTCGAACTGGAATCATGGCAGAAAATCTTGTGAAGTCCACTTCGCAGGGCACTTACGGTCGAATAGAACAAACGTTTGAATTGATCAGAGATACATACAAAATGTGCAGAGCAGGGGGTTGCGAGAACTTGAATTGAGAACAACTGAAACAGGTAACACTCTAGAATAGGGAACACATATTCAATATTAGCAAAGAGTTTTCCCTGAACAAACTCCTAATTTGCTGCTTATTAATAGTTAAAAAGGTAGTTGTTAAGTTTAGGTATGGGTAGGATTAAGGGATCTAAAATATAGTCATGCAGAATAAGGCATTAATATGTGCTTTATAAGTACTAATAAACAGCTAATATGCTAGTAATATGCATGCTAATAATAAGCAACTAGTTCATAATAAGAACTGGTCCTTAAAATAAAGTGTTACCATCAAATATATGTATATGTATGAAACTTTATGTGTGTTCAATTGCTCCCTTAATAATGAATGAAAAGTAAAACAAACAGTTCAAATAAAATACTAATAAAAAAGCATTTTGCATCTCAATTCACATACTTATGCACTGTTCTATGATGTTTTGTAGTGTAAATAGTGCGAGTAGAGTGTTCACACTGAAAATTCCAAGAAGAAAAAGTGCTCTTTAAATACCTGGATGATGCACTTACATAACTGAAAAAATTAATTGTGGAATGTTGGACACTTCATGCACTCAACTGTCGCAGCTTTAATTACGTAGCAAAGGGGGAGGGGCTATCAGACTCGATTATGAATGACAAAATAACCTTATATAATTCATACACTACATGGTTAAATATAAAGTGCACAAGTGCATAGTGTTCAAGTGCACAGTGTATAGTGCGTCATTTGGGATGCACCTTGTGTGTTAAGGAGTATGTATCCGCACACACCTGTTTGAACTGGATCATGATGTCTTTGGAGAGCTCCATGTCTTTGAACATCCCCTCTAGTTTACTGGTGAACGCTGCTCCACACTCTACAACACACACACACACACACACACACGTCTCGTTAACTATCCTTGTAGGGACTCTCCATAGGCGTAATGGTTTTTATACTGTACAAACTGTATTTTCTATCGCCCTACACCAACCCTACACCTAAACCTACCCCTCACAGAAAACTTTCTGCATTTTTACAATCTCAAAAAAACTCATTCTGTATGATTTATAAGCTTTTGTACCCATGGGGACCTCAATTTAGGTCCCCAGGGTGACACAAATCCCCATGAGTTGGTGTGTATTCAGGTTTAAGTCTCCACCAGTGTAGAAAAACCTGTACACCCACACACACGTCACTTCACAGACCAAATATCGCTGATACCACAGACACTGATGTGCAGAAATGACAAATGAATGACGTGTGAAGCTACAGTGAGTCATTTCTGCTCCACTGGAAGAATCAATCAGAATCAAAGACCGTTTATTTGAGCAGCTGATCAAATCAACCAATGAGGAGAGTTTGGGGCGGAACTACCTGATTGCAAATTTAGTATTAATTATTTACTATTAATACTTTGAATTTGCTTTTAATTTTAGACTTTTACTTTCACATTTTAATTTGAGTTCATTTTAATAGTAGTTTCAGTCATTTTGTTACGTGTTTTTGTCATTTTTATAAGTTTTATATATTTTTTTATATTTCTATTATTTGCAAAATGATAAGCTGGAATGTTCCCTTAACATTTGCATAACCAAGAAAAAACACTTTTAAAACATTGTGAAAACTGGACATTTTGCAGATTCAGAAATAACATTTTCATAACTAAATTGGAACGTTAGCAGTTATTACAACATATTTTGTTAGCTGGGGTGCTACAAACAATTTATTTATCAGTTTTAGTACCTAAACTTAAAAAGTAACTAAAAATTAACGAAGTTTCTGATCTAATGTTTATAATTTATTTCACCTTTAAGTTACTGAAAATTATTTTTTATTATTTTTAGTTTTAGCTAGTTAAACTTTTTAGTTGACAAAAGCACTGAGACAGATGGGGGAACATTTAGAAATCTGTACAATTCTGTTTTGTGACACAGAAATGACACACTGCAGCTTTCAGAAGTTCACCAGTTTAACTAGTCACAGTGAAACTAACTAGGGTTTTTACTGGATGTGTCTGATTTAACTGAAATCAAGGCAAAACAGCAACTCAACTACAGCTGCGTGGTCACTTCCTGTTCACACGATCATGTGACCTGACTGCCAAGAAACTGATCAGTGGAGTTTCCACATCAACCGTCTGACGACCAATGAGATGTCAGATTGAGAACAAACCATGTTTGAGTTTGGACAGCATGGACTTCTCAGCATCCACCGAGGCGCTCTTGCCCACCAGCAGACGCTTGGCCAGATCCTTTTTATAGAAAGCCTCAAACACGTCCTTTCCTGCAGCAAACACACACGGTTCAGCTTCATTTGTGTGTGACTCTCATTTAAACTGAAGCTGGAGTCCAGATTACCATGGATGAACCGGAAGATGATCATGATCTTGTCCAGAATTCTCTCCAGCTCCTCCTCTGTGGCCTCCTTATTTCCAGCGCGCAGTTTAGAATCCACATACTTAGCTGAGGAGACACAGTTAGTACACTTACACCAGATCATCAAAGAATCCTGAAACATAAACTGTATGAAGCAGCACAACCTTTTTCAAAAAAATAAATAAAAAGGCATGGACTCCACGAGACCGGTAGACTGACTAGTCTGATCAGTGTATATATACATATATATATATATATATATAAATATATATAGAGTTTCAGTTAAAAATCTTCTTTACTGTTCTACTCAAGAAAAAAAGTCACCTACATCTTGGATGGCCTGAGGGTGAGTAAATTAACAGCAAATTTTCATTTTTGGGCGAAAGATACCTTTAATGAGTCAGTTCATGTCAGATTTTATTGCTGATGTGAAATATGTTATATAATTGTGAGTTTGGCCAGCAGTTCTTGCAATTTCAGCATTTCCCCATTCAAGTAGATATGAGATTGTCTTGAAAGAAAATATGAGCGTCGAGTGAATGCGTCTCTGGTCCGGTGTGGTGTTGTCACTCACCAATGAGCTCGGCAGGTTTGTTAGGTCTCTTGTTGATGAAGCTCTCGAAGGCTTCCTTCATGGCATTGATGAAAGTGTCGTTCCTCTGGAAGCAGCGCTGGGTCACGTGGTCCATCTTGTCCTTGAAGTCCAGCAGCTCCTGAACCATCTCTTTATCCTTCTCTGGAGAACTCACGATCTCTCCACCAAAACTCTGCAAGAGAAAGTGTTACTGAGATACTATTATCAGTTTTATCAATATTTTGAATATTTTTATTTTCATTTTAATGTTAGTTAATTTTTATAAATTTTTAGTTTTTGTCATTTTTATTAGATTTTTAAATAAAATGTAGATTTTATTATTTTTATTTAAAGGGGTCATATGACGTTGCTAAAAAAATAACATTATTTTGTGTATTTGGTGTAATGCAATGTGATTATGTGGTTTAAGGTTAAAAAAACACATTATTTTCCACATACTGTACATTATTGTTTCTCCTCTATGCCCCACCTTTCTGAAACACGTCAATTTTTACAAAGCTCATCGGTCTGAAAAAGCGAGGTGTGCTCTGATTGGCCAGCTATCCAGTGCGTTGTGATTGGCCGAATACCTCAAGCGTGAGACGGAAATGTTACGATACCATACTGTGATGCTGTGTCCCGGCGCGACAAGACAAAACCAGTAAAACCCATTACAAACGAGGCATTTGTTGCATCCAGTGGGGACATAATTACTGATTATAATGACTTATACTGTCTTTTTACACGTTGCGTTGCGTATCGCGCCGCGTAAACATAAATCCATGTCTGCATTTGTGATCAGAGAAACGACAAACAACAAGCGCTACTCTACAATGCTCAAAACTCACGTTTGAATCGTTATTGGCAAATTCTTTAAATATGAAAACGTACTTACAGTCTGTGAGTCAGAAGCGCCAGACTGTCCTTGCAAAGTTGGAACTGCCCCACTTTATAGAAACAGCCTTTGTGCACAGACACCTTGTAGGCTACTCTACAAGGATCAGGAAACAGTCCTCCATAAAATGCGCTGCACACATCTGAATATTTGGGTTAAACTGTTCTGGAACAGTTTTGTAAATACAACTTGACCACTGATTTCTAGTCGTGTCCTCTTTTGGAAGGCCAAACAAAGTAGTTTCGCTTTCACAACGAAACACACAGCGCCTTCACGACATGGCGGCAGCAACAATACTATAGCAAGAATCAAAGTTACACCTTCTTTCTTTGCGTGAACATTTGGGCGGCGTTATGCAAATCTTCCCACACAGTGACGTAGACATGTGGGGGGCGTGTTTAAACGAGGTGTTTTAGGAGGGCGTGGACGAGTCTTAACTTTTATAAAGAATATCTCTTTGGGTTTGAGACTTTAGTCTTTGCAACTTTAGGGGATCTTATCTATGCATGAACAGCTTGTAACACTCCAAAGAGAAAGGAAAACTTGAAATTGCATCATATGACCCCTTTAAATTTTACTTTTAGCTGTTTTAGTACAAGTTACTAAAAGAAAACAAGAAATATTGCATTGATATCTAGCTGAAATTAAATGTTTTCATATTACTTCAGTTAAAGTTTATTTGATTTCAAGCAATGAAAAGGTTTTCTTTATGGTTTTAGTTGTAGTAAACAATAATAACCCTGAGGTTTGATGTGCGTGTACCTTAATGTAGTCTCTCCAGGCCTGCAGCAGCGCCGTCAGCCCTCCTTTGACTTTATTTAAGAGCTCATAGAGCAGCATCAGCTCACACACACGGTTCTCATCCAGCAGCATCCACAGACCTAAGTAGAAGCAGCGCACGCGCACACACACACACACACACACACATCAGCTTTGTGTGTGTTTTATGATTTGTCTTGAGTCTCTGATCTATACTCATAATCCAGACCTTTCTGCAGAATGGCATTCATATGTTCGCCCAGCAGCTGCTTCTCCACTGTGGTGATGAGTGGCTTCCTGTCAGACACAGTCAGGTGTTAGAGAAATAATTACATGGGCGTCGGAACCATTGGGACAAGACCCACCCACTTTTTAAGACCAACGATATTGGACCCACCCACTTTTTAAGACCAATGATATTGGACCCACTCACTTTTACCATCTCTAATTCAGCGCATATGTTCGTTCACTTTTCAGAGCGCCGCCACTCAAATCCATTCCACTTGTACTTTTTCAGTACTCGCGCCTGCTGCACTCCCGCTATAAACAAAGCATTGTAGCATATCTGCTGCTCAGGTGGGTCTGGCTGTGTGCTCACATAGCCTACTGTCACTAAACAAGCTGCTATTTAACTCAATGTTGTTCATCATTTGTTCCCCTGTTGCTTTTAAAGGCATCATAGAGTCTTTGTTGCAGCACTGAATAACAGTTACACTTACACTATGTTGGACCCACCCACATTTTTGTTGCTTCCGACGCCCATGAATAATTATAAGACAGATGTTAATTTCCTGCAGGAAATAGCAGCACTAACACACAGCACAACAACAGAGATTCAAAATGATGGACAGACAGACAGATAGATGACTAATAATTCACACGAAATAATAGAGACGGATCAATAGATCAATCATCTTATGTGTGTCATCCACAGATACCTTAAAGACCAATCACAATTCAGTATGGCTTATTAATTTTAAATTTTTCTGAATTAATTCATTTTAGTGTTTTATTCAGATTTTTCGATTTTTAAATTATGTATTTTGAATTTGTATTATTCTTATTTAATTCATTTTTAGTGTTTTATTTTGATTGTTTTTATTTGAAAATTTTTTATTTTAATTTAATTTTAATTTGATCATTTAATTCATTTTAAAAAGCAGTTTATAATTTTTATTTTAAAATATATTTTTTAACTTTAGTTTTTAGTTTGATTGTTCTTTTAATAATTTATTTAAATAATCATCTAATTTTAGCAAGTGTTTTATTTTCATTGTTTTTATTTAAAAAATTACTTTACATTTTTATGATTTAATTCATTATTTGCTTTTCATCAACACACAAACCCCAGATTGGGAAAGCCTCCTTTAAGTCAATGACAGATTTTCAAACTTAAAACTTATGTTTCTCAGAAGGAATAAAGATTATCAAAGGTATAAAGATGAACAGATCTGAGACTGAACTGATCTACAGGATCACGTGTGAGGAACATCAGATCCAGATACGAGAGAGACTTACTGCGTGCTCTGATCTAAATAACTGATGACACGGTCATTCTCTTCCTCCAGACGCCGCGCCACATGATGAAGGTACTCAGGAACCTACATGAAGAACATGAACACAAGTGAACACACACACGTGGAGAGCGTCAGTGTGTGAATGAGGTAGAAATACTCTCACATCTCTCTCCTGCATGAGCCTCTGACCCTCAGCTGCGTACAGACGGTTCGTCTCTGTTAAAAACCTCTGCTCGAATGAGTCCTTATACACCTGACAACACACACCAACACACACCGTTAAAAGACACTTCCAGAACCCGACTGCTGTGCTCAACAGGAAGCGGACATCATCAGTGTTTCTGCGCAATCACCTGCAGGTCTGAGAGCATGCCCAGTAAGCTCCTCAGCAGACTGCGGTCCACTGTCTCTCCGTTACGCTCACGCTCAATCTGCTCCAGGATTCCCTCCACTGTCCGGCTTTGAACGGCACCGTCGCTCACAATGTGCGTCCGGAACAACTCCAGCCCCGTGTCCCTGACAATATGCGTGTGTTACTATAGCAACACCAGCTCAGGGGTGCATTTCCCAAAAGCATCGTTAGCCAACTATGGTCACAAGTTCTGTCGTTACCAACATAGTTCAACGATTCGGTGTTTCCCGAAAACCATAGTTCAATCGAACATTCGCAAACAGCGTCGCAAACTTTCGTGGTAGGAACTACAGCTCTCGACCTGTGGTTAGAAGCATAGTTTCGTGTTAGTAAAATATATGGACTTAGGTAAATTATGCTTTTGGGCACAATAAGCAAGCTAACATGCAGTACAATCTATATCTTCCATTCAATTTAACTATATATACATTTTAATCGATACATTTTAACGCGTCCTCAATAAGCGCCGTTTCCATTCAATTTAAATATATATACATTTTAATCGATACATTTTAACGCGTCCTCAATAAGCGCCGTTTTTGAAGAGTGCGCACGCACATAAAAGGGAACCCCGGAGTAGGACGTAAGAGGAAACCCGCAAAGAATCAAACATCAAATAAAGCAAATTGACAGGGAACAAAATATAGTAAATTAGTCATCAGGTGCCATGTTCAATACAGCAGCATCTCGGAAATCTCGAATCAATTAATTAGCAGAAGTTATTACTCCACCACATGCGTGTGACGTCATTAACAACGACCCTAAATTGTTGAACTAATTTGAAATGATGGAACATGAAACAGTCATGACTGGCTAGTTACTTTCCACAACAATGCATCATACTATGGTGGTTAATCAGTGAGTTACGTCATTGTACGGGAAACGCACCCCAGGGTTATTACAGTCAACTACAACTAAAGTGTTACATCACTTGCTGACCAGTGGATCCTCTGCAGTGAATGGGTTCCGTTAGTTCCATTACATTACGTTCTGTTACATAAGCAATCCACACGACTCCAGTCCATCAATTAACGTCTTCCTGCTAAAATACGGGCCCATAATCCATAATAACGCTTCCTCCCGTGAAAAAGTCCATCCTCTGTTGTCCTTGCACATAAAAATCCACCCACATATTTGTTTAGAACTGTTTTGGACTATTTGGGCTTCTAAACGGTGCTTGATCTGTGCATATTCAGTTCATATTCATCTGTTCCCGATTCAGACCAGACTACTTTTTCACTGGAGGAAGCATTATTATGGATTATGGTTAAAAATGTCTTGATGAATTTGTTTCTTACAAACACGCAGCTTTTGGCTTAAAGGGATAGTTCACCCAAAAATTAAAATTCTGTCATTAATTACTCATCCTCATGTCGTTTCAAACCCGTAAGACCTTCGTTCATCTTCGGAACACAAATTAAGATATTTTTGATGGAATCTGAGAGCTGTCTGACCCTCCATCAGAATTTTCATTTTTGGGTGAACTAACCCTTTAACAAGACATTCATTGATGGACTGGAGTCGTGTGGACTACATGGGGATTATTGTGATGTTTTTATCAGCTGTTTGGACTTATTCTGACGACATCCATTCCCTGCAGAGGATCCATTGGTGAGCAAGTGTTGTAATGCTGAATTTCTCCAAATCTGTTTAAGAAACAAACTCATCTACATCTTGGATGGCCTGAAGGCGAGGACATTTTCAGTAAATTTTCATTTTTGAGAAAACTATTCCTTTAATAAAAACATTATTGACATTTAAAAAATAAAATAAAATAAAAATGACAAAAACTAAAATTAAAATTAAAACAGAAAATATACAAATAAAAACAAAATCAAAATATTAATAAATTACTATAATGATATTACTAAAACATTATAATTAATATTAATAAAACTTTAATAGTATCTAGTAATAGTGATATTAAAATAACACCGCACCACTGTCTGATTGGTCAACTCACCAGATGGACGGCAGCAGTGAGTTCTGGAGGATGTATGTCCGGTCCAGGAAGAGGAAAATACTGCGGATCATGATCTGAAGGAGACGAGATGCAACACTCACATTCATTCCATCGTATGTAAAGACACACACACAAGAAGAGCATCCCGTACCGTTTGACTGCAGTGGTCCTGCCAGCAGCGGTTCATCCTCTTCAGGAATGACAGGCTGTCCAGTGACTCTGTGCGACTCTGTTAAGGGCAGCTTCAGTCTGATCTGTGTGTCACAGCGCCCTCTAGTGAGGATCTACTGACACAAACATCAGCAAAACGAGCGTTATCTGTAACACACAGTTGTCAAACATCATACATGGACACACAAATGTCCCATTACTGATGAAGGATATTCCCTGAACTGATGGATCTGAGCTTGAACGTGATCTTCACACACTTGACGCAGCTGCTTGTATAACACAGGTGATACTTTATACGAACACAGATTCTCCACGGCCTGTGTGAGACAAAAACAGCTCATAAATACACATGTGGGTGAAGAATCATGGGTAATCAGTCTGAAACATCACAATCTTCAATTCTAAAATATAATCTGGAAGTGAGGAACTGCTCAATAGTTACATCAAATGACAAAAACACTCTGTTTAGGGAAACAGTAAGTTTGATTCCTTTATATTTGAATCAAACGATTATGTAACTTTCTGAGTACATTTAAATGCTTCTTTGAAATTATTAAACAACACTACAGACACATGACCCATGACATTTACAATCACTGACCCACTGCACAACACACACATCAAGCCAACTGGATTCTGAACAGATGTTAGCACTTCACTGTACAGTTACTGTCCACTGCACTATTCAGTACAATACACATATAAACATTCATTTTCTATATTTATGTACACATACACACACACACATATATATATATGTATATTTGGGATGTAACAATACAGTTAGCCCACAGTTCAATACATACATCGATTTTGTTTTCTGACGGCTTTTTGGCAATTTAAGATGGGATTTTTAAAACATATTAACAACAAACAAAAAAACTCCTGTACACTGGCTGGAGAAAGATATGGTTTATTATATATATTATATAACTTCGTTTGAAATTAAGTATTATTTTTCCTATTTTTACCCAAAATAGGATGGATTGGCCATTATTTAGTGCTATAAACACGTATAATATCTGTTTCATTCATACTGGACACCAGAGGGTGCTCTCACGCAGAAACTCCAAATATGCATCACAGAAGTAATAGAACTGATGACGCTGCAGGAAATACCTAATATGGACAAAGGCATCATTATCACTGTAACGTCTCCTGTTACTCAACGTAAACGTGGTTCCCTGAGAGGATGGAACAAGACATTCCGTATAAGGAAACCCTTTTCCTCTGAAATGCTGAAGCCTGATTGAATCACTCTATTGCTATGCAATAGCCAATGGCATTCGAGCATTCGCCTGATTGGCAGGCTCAGCTGCTATATAAGTGATGCCAATTTACCTCAGAATTTTTCGACTGAGCGAGAGTCATTGAGGTTCTGAGGGAGTTTTCCACACGGCAGTTTACGTAATGTCTCATTCCCTCCTCTCAGGGAACCACAGTTACGTTAAATAACTGGAGACGTTCCCTTATCAAGTCGGACTCTCAACACTACATATGGGGAACATATAAAACCCCGCCGTGAGAAAACCATGCTTGTACCAGCTCGAACAGAGCTGATACAGTAGACTAGGCACATGCAGTAGCAAGCAAAAGCATAGCGGCGTGCTTGCCCGGCCTCCCTTAGGTCGGGTACCGGGCCTAGTTGAAACACCTAGATGCAGGTTTGGCAAAGAGCCAAGGCAGTGCTGGCATCTCCCTGTTCACAGTCAAGCACCACTGTACTAGCGTGATATAGGGAGTGAAAACAAAGGCATCAAACATGTTGGTGCTCACATATACCACCGGCCTGTATGAGCGGGCCTACATAAACTGAAACAATACTTAGGATTACAGGTTTTTTTTCCACTTTTTAGTAGTTGGCTATTACCCACGGCTGCATGATAATTTCACAGCATCCTTGTAGGTTGCAGGACATGCTGGAGCTATAAAAGCGCAATGATCATATAAGGCCATGCATATACTGCAGAGCCCTTCAAGCAGCGCCGTCTCGTGCCACCTAAATTACCTAGTTTAGACACACTGGGAAGGGGCGTGTCTTCAAGCGACTTAGTCGTCCAATGGCTGCGCAGCCTTCTCCTCCTGCACAGACAGAACATGCGGTGCAAAAGAGGGAATATCCAGGTTGCAAATTCTTGCAAAAGTGTTCTGAGATGACCAACCTGCCACTAGACAGATGTCCTGAATAGACATACTTTTAACCCAGGCCCATGAAGATGCCAGAATCCTGGTGGAGTTGGGCAGTCCCATTGGGCAGTAGAGTCCTCGAGAAGCATAAGCTAGGCTAACAGCTTCCATAAACCAGTGTGACAGCCGCTGTTTCGACAGCGGTGGGCCTTTCCTAGCGCCCGCGAAGCAGATGTAAAGCTGTTCCAAAGTTCCTAAGCACACAGTGCACGCACAGGGCACAAGGCGCGCCTCTGTGACACTAAATCAGAGGCTGGTTTGGGGGGGAAGAACGCTTGTATCGTAATAACCTGGGATCTGAATGGCGGTGAAAGCACTTTAGTTGTGTAGACATGTCTGGGTGTGAGTCTGACCATGCAATCATCCGGACCAAACTGCATCCAAGCAATGCTGACCGAGAGGACATGCAAATCACACACTTCGCTCTTAAATGACAGCACTGGCATCAGGCGAGAATGGAGGGGATTCAGCCACCTCACGCCCTCAAAGAAAGCTCATTTCTACGGGGTGTTTACCTACTGAGCGACCCTCAAATATGTCATGAGAGGCAGCGATAGCGGCCACATAAACTTTTAGCGTAGAGGGAGAGCTGCCCGCATCTAGGCTTTCCTGCAGGAAGGTCAAAACTGCGGGGATATCAACTCGCCTGGTCTTCATGTCTGCTGGCACACCAGTTAACAAACACTTTCCTCTTCAAAGTGTATAGGTGCCTCGTCGAAGGGGCTCTAGCCTCTGTTATCGTGTGCAGCACTCACTGTGAAACGGTCAGCTGGTTCACTCCGTGCTGACTTGCCATACATGCAAGTCCCACAGCTCCGGCTTGGGGTGCCAGATGATGCACTTCACCTAGGAGTGTAGGTCCCTCCTCAGCGGGACCTGTGGGGGGTGGGGGGTGTAAACGATAGGTTAACAAACTCCGGTAACCACGGCTGGTTGGGCCATTTTGGCGCTATCAGCAGTAGAGCATCCCTCTCCTCCCTGATCTTTTGCAGCAGTAGCAGCATAATTTTGACTGGAGGGAATGCATATTTCCAACCCTTTGGCCAGTGGCTCGACAGCGCGTCCCCTTCCAAGGGGGAGGTCGTTAGCGAGAAGAATAGTGCCCAGTGGGCATCTAGTGAGCGAGTGAGCGAGCGCACTCCTCCCTGGCGATTGATGTACGCCACCACCGCTGCATTGTCCATTCAGATAAGAAGATGATGGTCTCTCACAAATGAGAGAAATTCCTGCAGTGCTAAGTGAACAGCTTCCATTTCCAAGCAGTTTATATGTTGGCACTCCTGGTCGCTGCTGGGCTGCCACTGCTGGGCTGCCATCACAGAGGGCTCACCAGCCTGACAGTGATGCCATGGTAACCACTATTTGTCTGACCACTCTGTCCACAGCGGCACTCTGTTTGTACATAGCTGTGCTGAACCAAGGTGTCAGACTCAGCACTTCGAGACATGAGCACGTTATGACAAGACGCTCTGTCCCTGCTCTCCACGCTTGTCGTGGGACCCGACCCTGTAACCATAGTTGCAGTGGGCTCATATGCATCAAGTCCAGGTGGCAGACAGAGGCTGCAACGGCCATCAGTCCCAGCAATCTCTAAAACGTTTTCAGGGAATACATGACAGTGCTGAATCCTCTGTGCTGATAAGCGTGCGAGCATCGTGCGTAAGCCTAAAGCGATCCCCAGGAATGTAATCGATTGGCAGGGCTGAAGCGTGCTCTTTTACATGTTTACAGACTGGCCTAGGCGTGCTAAATGGGCGAGGAGCTTGTGTTTGTGTTCCTCGAGCACACTCCTCGACTGAGCGATGATGAGCCAGTCATCAAGGTAGTTCAGCACATGCATTCGCAGAGGGAAAAGCGCTGCATTCATGCACATCGTGAATGTGCGAGGGGCCAGAGCCAGCCCAAAAGGTAGCACATTGAATTGGTATGCAACACCTTTGAACGCAAATCGCAGAAAGCACCTGTGATGAGGGGCTATCTGAATATGAAAATAAGCATCCTTCATATCCTCTGAAATGAAGTAGTCCTCGGGCTGGATGTGTGTGAGGATATGCGTCACTGTAATCATTCTGAACGCGCGTTTCGCCAGCGCTTTGTTTAGCGGTCATAAATCCAATATTGGACACATGCCCCCGTCCTTTTTCGGGACAAGGAAGTAGCGGCTATATAGCCCGCACTCCCTCTGCTCCTCGGGTACTATCTCTACTGCCTGCTTGGCTAGGAGAGAGGATATTTCTGTCCGTAGCAGCAGAGTGCTCTGTTCTGACACTTCTGACATAATCATGCATCTAAAGCGGGCCGGTCTGCCCACTGCCCATGCGCTCAGGTGCCTTGATAAAGGGGACAGCGGTGTTTGTGTCAGTAAGGGCTGCGCACCAGTCGCCAGTGAAACACTGCCGTCTAAGTGAATGACAGGTGATGGGCCCATGGCTTGTAGCACGGGGACACACGCACATAACAGCTCGAGTTGAGCTGAGTCTCCGCTCTACCAAACATCTCCTGGGGGAGAGATTTCACTTATATCGTGAGCAATAATCAGAGGAGGAAAAGTGCTTTGTTGATGAGGCATGTTTGATCTTACGTTTAATGCAACTGAACACACTGGCAATTAGAGGTCGACCGATAGTGGATTTTGCCGATACCGATAGCTAGGTTGGACCACACTGGCCAATACCGATTAATTAAACGATAGTTTTAAAATTGATACTGAACAAAAACTACAATAGTGCTTTATTAACAAAAACAGTACTGAACCATACTAGTAGTAGTAGTAATAATAATAAT